GCCCGCGTCGCAGGACAGCGGCCCGCGGGCAGCCTGCTCCGTCGCGTCTGACTGCATTAAACGTATCATCTGTGCGCCTCTCCCTCTGCCTGTTCTGCTCTCTCCACGCGCGGCTCTGAAAAGTTAATATTGCTGCCCAACTCGCGTGCAGCAAATACAAAGCCCGGAGGCTTGTCCGTACTGTGATGTGGGTGCACAGCCCTTCCAAGAGGCACAACATGGCTTCTGCAGCCATGGCATGACTCCTGCCATGCTGTTTGCCTGCTGCTCCTTTCTCAAGTGGTTTGACTGCCTGGGTATCATTTTACTAAAACAGGACCGTCTAGTGGTCAAAGAGAGCCCTTTGCATTTGCCTGCATAATAGGCTTTAGCTGCTCTTCCGTTTATCCAGAGAAGTTGTGGTGCTTTTTGTTCGTGTAAAAGAGCGTTGAAGGGAAAAGTTTCAGTATCAGTTAAAGAGGGAGCGGGGTTTGCATGAAGTGAAATATGAGCCTTATTACTTTGTCAATTTTTTGTTCTATCTTGATCCTGAGAAGCAGGAAACTCATTGAAATTCCTCTCCTATCTCAGATGCACCTTTTGCTTTTTGGTGGGTTTTTTTTTTTTTTGGCACAGTTCTTTTACACTATTTTACAAATTCAGGTAATGCCTACTTTTCAGTTTTGTTTCCCAGTAAGGCTTGTGCTATACTCACCCAGGCAGGGGAAGGAATTGATGAAATTCCTCTAAGGAAAGTCCTTTAACAGAATCACAGTACTGAGGACAGGTGGTTTTATTTCTGCTTGAAGAGGGAAGATTATAGCAAACCATGAAAAATTGTTATCTGGAGAGGATGAGGCTGTGAAAGGTAGTATTGGTTTATATTAATACTTTCTTCTTCCATATACTTCATATTTTCAGAGTTATATATAACATTGTGATCTGCATTTTGCTAGGAGTTTCTAAGCAGCTCCTCTGGATTTCCTTGTTTCAGAGGTAAAGGTTTTGTGAAATGAAACACTCCGCAGCAAACCAGCTTAAGCCACTCCTGCGCTTCAGTACCTGCCCCTGCACTGCAGTTTACCACACCGCTGGGCAGATTGCAGTCCACTCTACAGCTGGACTGCACAAACCAAGTAAGAGAACTGAACCAGTGCAAGAAAATAACAGGCACTTTAGGGCTACCTACCAGAAAAATCTTTAAACTGTTTTCCAAGGCTCTAACCTAATCGTGCTGAAATGTGCAAATAAATGTTTTGAAGAGACTTCTCATCGGAAGTAATCAGCACCACAGACCACTGCTCTCTTTAAGATCGGTGTAAGCAGACTTGAGGCAGTTCACATCTCTCACTATCTGCTTACAAGGTGAGAATTTCTTCCTAAACTAAAGCCTTTTAGCCTTTATGCCTTGTCACAAGTTTGAGGCATTTGTTAAAAACAGCTTGGGTTGCCATGCTTGGAGCACATGCTTCCCCTGAAACTGCACTGCTCAGTTAAAAAACAAAGCGTACCAAGTTTTATGTAGCTGAACAATTGGGATTTTGCTGGAAAAAAATGCTTATTACATTCCTCTTAGAATTTCAATTGCATGGAAAACACCTTTTGAACAGTATGTTTTTTTGCCAATACCCATACATTGCCCATTGTTAAAGCAGTTCCTAAAAGCTTACAGAACACTATACTCGCACTAACCAAAATCTTCATTTCTGCTCTGAGGCTGTCACTTTCTCTTGCAACAAAACTTGCTGTCCTTTGCTTGAAAAATGTATTGCTGGAACCAGGAAAAGAAAGAGGGGTGGGGGGAAGCTTACCTAACTTCAAATTGTACATCGCGCATCACATCACATTGTGCTTCTCGGTCTACTCGTTTTACATGCATGTTTCACACTGGAATTCCTGTCTGACTTACATTACTCATTGGTCATCTTCTTCCTGCTCCTTGAATACCTGTATGTTCATAAAACGGGCAGACTGGCGAAGAAGTCTCCATTTACTGTTATTGTGGGTGTTATTTGGGTATTGGACTATGTTGTTGCCTTCCAAATCTAATGTATAACTTCTCAGTTACTGCCAGGGGAGCACTGGGCAGCAAGTTCTATGCACAAAAACACTCTTTATTCAAAATCCAGCTACCATTTCTGCACAGTAAAAAAGGAAAAAAAATCAAAAGACATACTATATCGCATACAGTGTTTTCCCAGAGTCTTCAAATCTTTCAAGAGACAGAACGGAGCAAAACCCAGAAAATAAAGGATTCTGGTACAAGACCTTTAGTCTGTCTCGGTGCTATTTAACATGCTACTGCTTTACAGATTGTGCTCTCATCTTGGGTGCTCTATTCTGACATCTAGCACCCGAAATGCAAGCCTGCTTTCACTGGCAACTTCTCTTCTGCTCATTTTGCTACAGAAACAGCAGCCAACAGTTTGAAAAATGATCAGGACTGACTCCGCAGTGGAGCCCCGCCGCAGTAGAGGCGCAGCCTCCTTCAGGCCCCTCAGGAATCACCATTGCCCACCACAACCAACAACAGGGATGGTCTCTGCCTTGCCATGAAACGGCACCTGCTGCCAGTGAACCTCAGGGAAAGTCGTGGCCCCAGCTCTCCCCAGGAAGAAACTGTGGTGCTTCCTATGGCAGTGCAGGGCCCCTCCCGCCACCTCACTGCCGTCCAAAAGGGCAGGGCCCCCTCTGACACCAACGACTTTCAGGCACCTCGGTCAGCACAACAGGCATCATTTCCTGGCCACCTCAGGTCAAGCAATATGTCATTGGCCCCACAACCCCTAGCTCTCTTCCCAGAGAATGATGACACTGTGCCTCTGATGCCACTATGCTTGACGGCGAGCCAACAGGCAGTGCCCCGCTTCCCCACAGTGGTGACCATGGGCCCCAGGGGTACGGAAGGGCTCCCGACACCTCGCCAGAAGAATGGGCAGTGCCAGCACACTGCAGCCACTGATTCGCCCTCACCTTAATGCAGGCAGGAAAATGCTTCCTGTGGTTCCCTGTCCCCTACAGGTCCATTTCTGGCCACCGCCAGCATTGTCCCAGAGATGGATGAGCCCGCTACTCTGCACAATGTGGGGACGCAGGGGCCCAGAGCACAGCCGCACATTCTCCGCCCCACAAGGAGTGAGACAGCCTGCCATGTAATGACTTAGCAGAGACAGTGACAGCCCTGTTGCTTTTATTGATTTCCCACACGGTAAGGTGTCACGTGCTGGGCATGAGCGGCTGCTGCTCCTCGAGCAGCTCCTCACCAGGCGGCAGCTCGTAGATGACGCAGAGGGAAGAAAAGAGGCAGCCCAGGAATGACATGAGACAGGCGAAGTACATGACGCCGCTGGCGCTGCCCACTGCTGCCGTCAGAGGCCCCATCACCACAGCCACGAGGATCTGCGCCAGGAAGTACTGGCAGCTCAGCAGGGAGATGTCCACGCCCATCCCACGCCGCGTGCCCTCCGCCTGCGAGCCAGCAAACTGCAGGGGACACAGCGTGAGGGCGGGCTGCTACCAGAAATCCCCCAGCCCCAGCCCCCCGGCACTCACCTTGCGGCTCTGGTAGTAGTCACACAGCAGGGAGTAGGGCAGCGTGCAAAGTGTGGCGAAGAGGACGCCATAGGTGGCACACAGTGACAGCACCACGTACACATTTCTGGAGAGTGTGGCCAGCCCGGTGCCCAGCCCAAAGGCGAGGTATGCCACAAAGTACAGAGTCCGTGTGCTGAACCACTCCTCCAGCTTCTCCAGCATGGCTGCAAGACAATGCCACAGCGTCGCGGGGCAGCGTGGACCGTGGCCCTCCCCGGCCACTAGCCAGGCGGCGGGGCTCAAAGGGCACATGGCTGGCCCCTCGGGCCCCGCTGCCCGGCTATTGAGCAGCGACAGTTAGGTGGTGACCGTTAGGGCCTCGGGGAACTGACGGCCTGCAGGCACGCATCCAGCATCCCCTCCAAACGCACCCACCCCCCCGACGCAGCCTGATCGCATGGAGAGCGCAGAGGAGCTGTGGCCCAGCGGTGTGTCCATGCATGTCCCGCGGGGAGGTGCCGTGTGCGGTGGGTAAGGTGTTAGGGTTCTGTGGTGACAGCATGGTGCTCAGTTGGGTGCGCGGATGTGCTGAGTGCTGCTGTGCTCAAATTGTGCTTACGGTAGCACTGTGCACTTTAGATTTAACGTACATTGAAAATGCCACTTGTGAAAGCAACTCTGCAGTAACGGAAACGTGTTTTCACTGAATGCTGTCAGCACAGGCCATGCTAACTAGCGGAGATAATACTGTAAAAAAACAACATACTCATTCAGCATTCATGCCATGTGGTAGTCTATACGCAACACACAAATGCCAGAGTACTTGTTGCAGAAGCACCACTTCAGGAGCAGGTATATCTTACTGTCAGCAGCATATAGGGTGGCTTTACTTAGTACCTGAATAGAACGCAGCACTGAATGCATAGATGCACATTCCCCAGCAGCCCATGGTGACCCCAGCGTTGTACTTCTGATACTCATCTGAGTTGTGAGGAGCTTTTGGATTCCCTTGAAACACTACTTCTCCCATGAAGTCGGTGTAGAAGAGCAACATCCCCTCAAATGAAAGCCAGCCTGAAAGAAGCCGGAAGTAACCTATCAGGATTGCTGAGCGAGCACCTGTTTCCCCTTGTAAATCATGGACGCTATTATCTATTTTTCATATCACAACTGAAAACAGGCTGTGCAATGTTAATATTACATAATGCTTATTAGCCCCATTTTTATGAGACTGCTCTTCTCTGTGTATTTTGCTGTAATGTTTGCCAAAGCCATTCAGGATGTTAAACGTTAAGATTTATCCCTTGAATTCCCACATGGAATCCTAGAGGCAAACTACAGAACATTGATTTTAGCCAGACAGAAAAATAGATTACAGCAGCCTGAACTACCTTCAGCCTTGACAGAACATGAGGCTTAGTTTTGTGCAGAGTAACTTAACACACACTAGTTTCAGGGTGCTGTTGTCCTCCCACAATTAGCTGGAAGGAGCGCTTCTTATGTCACGGTTGCAGCCTCTGCAAGATTTGACACAGTAAAAACCACTACTCACAAACCCATGCCAGGGATACTGATGCAGGCAATCTCTTAATTCCTTCCACAGCCTATGAGTATTCTCTACCTGTTATCTTCTGTCCAACTTTGTGTAAATTGAACTGCTTGCAGGTCCTCCCTAACCACCAGTCATGCATTAGTAGGAGTGAAGGTAACAGTATGGGCACTCCTGCAGTGCTGCAGCCTGTTCTGGGGTCCCTAAATACATGCTGACTGGAAACTGGGTGGAGGGGGGGGGGTGGGGGGGAAATGCTGTCTCAGATGCAAGCAGGAAAATATCATTAATCTTTTCCGCTCTGCTCAATAACAGCTCCAATTTCAGACCTCTGAGGCAGGTTTATGCCATTTTAATTCTGTTCTTAGTGAAGTTTCTCTTGTGTTCCAGCACAAATGTTCAACTCAATGGCTGTGCTGATTTAAACCAGTGTTATTCCCCTTCTAGGAATGCAGGCCTTACTGTTTTTTTTATTTCTTAGTGTTCCGAAAAACTAAATAGTAGAAAGTATGTTATTGTCCGTGTAATGGAACGAGTTAGTAGCCATTGAAACAATAGATAAAATACTTAAAAACATTCAGCCAAGGTAGATTACTTCACAGTGAAAACAAGACAGTGCTTTCTGATTACCTAGGAAGTGGTTGATGCAGAGGTTACGCAGCGCCTTGGGCATGTGGCAGATGGTCGAAAACAGAAGTTTCAGGGAGAGCGGTTGCTCGGAGGTGTCACCTGATCCATTCAGCTCGCTCTCATACTTAACACCATTCAGCAAGATATTAGCAACCTGCACCATAAAAATTCCCAGGTCAACAAACACGTTAAAAAAGAAATCCAAATGGCCTTTGAGCAAAACTATGCAATATTACACATCTATCTGATCATTTCAAAGTTAAGCTGCTGCTGTAGTATGTTGGCTTGGAGATTAAAAACAGCATTTTGAGGTAAGCACAGCTGTAAGTTTAGCCTTAGAATGAGTACAAATGGCAGTATTGTGCTGCAGCTTTCAGTGTACTCAGAACAGTACTCTTCACTTTTCTGGAGTGTTTGACAACCCAATTCAAATGCTAGCATAAGCAGGCATAACCTTCATTGCATTTAATAGGAGCTGTACCCAGAATTGGGTGAATTTGCCTCCTCAAGTGATACAGTTAGTGAGGAAAAAGAGGCAAGTTTTAATCAATTTATTTTCATTACTTGCTCTCCTTGATACTTGATTCATATGTGCACAGTACGTAAAAACCTGACCCTAACAGAGTCTGGTCTCACAAACTGGGTTAGAATACAGTAACAGAAGCAAATAAATAATAATAATAAATTAAAAAAAAAAAACAAAACAGGACAGTTTACCTCATCCTGGATCATAAAAAAATAGGCCAGCATACAGAGGTCTCAGACATTCCAAGTTATCACCAACAGTGGGAGGTGAGGCCCCAGTCTTTTCCCCGAGTAAGGAAAACCTCACCTCCCTGATGCAACCAGGGGTAATGACTGCCATAAGGAGAAGCTCATGGGAGAATCCTATCCCTGGCCCTATCTTGCAGGTATTTCTGTGGAAAGGGAAGATACAGGCTCAATAAAAATGTGTCTTTTTCTGCTTTCACTTGATAACTTCCTGGGTGGTGAGGCAGGGCTAAAAATACCAACCTGGCTTTCACACATGGACTGGAAGGAGTGGAACACTCACATATCTGCTGTCTTAACAAAGGTAGTTCACAGATTGCCAGTCATAATTCACGTCCTGCCCACCGTTTTATCACTATAGTCATAGCAGGTGTTCTGTTCCTGCAGTAACTTCTGTAGGCAAACTGTTATGAGGAATCTTTAATCATGAACTTATGTGCCAAATATTTAAAATTATATAACGAGATTAAACGAATGCTCAGGTTTGCACAGTCATGAGTTTACATTGTTTTTCTGCCCTTACCTGTTGGCTGAAAGTTACATTCCTTCTTCTGCTACTTTCTGGACAATGTCCTGTTACAATGTCCGGAATAGCCAAGGTCTGAGGTCTTTTCAGGATCCCTGATGACCGTGGCTTTATTGCATCCAGTGAGCCCACCCTTAGTGCCTCGCCATCAGCCCCTGGAGTTATGCTGCTCTCCCCTCGCTCCAAAATTCCATTTTCTTGGTGGTAACAGCCATCTGGCACCCGGGGAAAGCTGACACTGACAGGCTGCCTGGGCATGCTAGCTGGAAGTGCTAAGTAACTATTGTGCCCGCCAGTAAAACAGTCTATAAGCACACTGTCAATATTTGAAGTCCCAAATGATGATGCAAACTCATTAATTCCTGTCAAGGAATTGTCTCTGCTGACAAAACTGCCATACTTGGGCGTGAGCGGGCTGAGGGGTGAAATTGGACTTGTAAAACTTGCATATAAGTGAGCTGAGTTATGAGAAGCAAGGTTTTCATTTACACCTTCCTCAAAGAAGAGAGGTGGGGAAGGAGGGAGAGGAAGACTCGGACTCTTCATCACCTTTTTCTTCTTGCTAAAGGACCTCAGGGGTCTTTCTGGAATGCTAATTAGCGTCAACACAGTAGTGATCGTCAGTGTAATTGAGGTGAAGACATAGATGACACGAAGTTGCCCTCCCACAGCTTTTCCAAAACTGGTTTTATCCCAGTGTATTCCTCCAACAACATAACCAAAGCCACCTCCAAGACCTGGTGGAAAAACAGAGCTGAGATTATCTTCCCTAGCCAATCCTTTAAGTTAGTAACAGCACAGCACTATTTGATGAGTTGTGTGCAGGCTCCAACTTCTTAATTTTATTTTACTATTTAATCCTTTTTTAACCCAAATGCAGTAATGTAGTAATTTGCACCACAAGGACAGTCTGAATGTACAGTGTACAGAAAGAGGGAGAAGGCAAGCACTGTAAAAGCAATGATACAAAGACTTACAAATACTAGTTCTTTCTTTGCCAAGGACAAATCACTTTACCTGTGGCAATTTCAATCTGTAAAACAGAACAGTATTCACCAGCCTCATGGCAAGGTTCTGCAATCAGTCAGCTAAGACCGTTTCTCTGAAAGGTAAGTTAAAAACCAATTTCCTCACTCACTAAGAAGAGCGCAGTTCTATCTGCATCCAAGATAGACCGAATCACTTCAGAAGAGCAGCAAGCTTATTATTCAGCCACGTGTCAGCACTGTACAAAACTGCCACTGCACTACTGTAGATAAACAGGGAAGTTCTGAGGGCACCAGACTCCACTCCCACTCCGCTCACATGGCAACAGCCTTACGACACTGTCCTTTTCTTCCTTAGGTACGTGTTAGAGAGTATAAACAGTCTCCTAACGGAGAGGAAAACTAGATTGGGGCATTACAGCAACTCAAAATGTCAGGAACGAGAGCAGAGCAGCTTGTATGCTCTACCCACTAGAACAGAGTGCCTAAAGGCGGCCAATTTCCCACATTTGTAGTAAGCTGAACCTCCTCCCTCAAGGGATAATTTTGTTTCCCTAGGCATTGTAAAAGACACGAGGGACACCTTCGGATAGGCAACCCAGGACTGTGCCTTGCTTGACTTTTGGCCGCTACAAAAGCCTTTTGCAGTAAGTAAAAGTTCGTTTTCAAAGTTAATTATTGCTAACTATGTATTCAGTTATGCTTATAGTGGAAAACACCTACAATTTACACTCTGCTTCTTCACAGCAAGACTTGTTCACTGGGGGTGCATGCCACCAAGGAAGCACCAAGAAAGTATACCTGCTAACAAAGCATGGATATTGAGGCCCCTGTCTTGATCCACTGGGCTGCACACATCCATCATGTAGGCGTGACTGGGATTGTCTGCTGAATCTGCGCTGAAGTCCATGAGGACGACACCACAGACTGTAAGAATGATTCCCCATTTGTGGTTATTCACAGAGTCGGACAAAGCACTGCCAATATCTCTGCCATTCAGCATGAGCGAGAGCCCCAGCAATGCTCCTGAGAATAAAAATAAATCAGAAGAAATCAATCACTCTTAAGGAAGCAGGACTGCATCACTGCATGGTCTCTCAAAGTGTTACGCTACCACCAAAGCACTGCACCAAGCATTATTGCTCTTGTTCAAATCATCACAGACCTGGGAATGTGTGTGGCTTATAGTATATAGATATCCCTTTCCACTGTTCGAGCTTACAAATGCCTGGAGTTGTTTTTGGCCACAGGAAAACATCCCAGATTCTCAAAATGTCAGCTCCTGGGACTCCGACAAGAGAGAACCTTTCATGCATGGATCTCCAGCTGCCAAAGTATCATCTCAGCATCACTTGCCGCTTTCTTCAGACCCATAATACCCAAAACTGCTTCCCGACAACATCAGAGGCCTTTTGTTCAGTCTAGTACCATAAAGGATGCCATACAAGAGATGTGTAATATTTTTACTTTACAAGCGTTATGCCCATGATTTCTAAAAGACGCACCTATTGCTAAGACCAGAATGAAGGGTCTTCTCCTCCCGAATCTTGATGTGCATCTGTCACTCCAGGCCCCCAGCAAAGGCTGCAGCAAGAACCCTAAAAGAAGAGGGACTCACCAAAAAGCGACAGTTTTTCTACAGGCCTGTTTCACAGGGGATTTAGAACGGGTAGTTTAAAAGGCAGGACACCATAGCATAGTGACACCCCCGAGTCAGCACTAGTCACTCAGATGTACACACAATTTAGTTCCCAGCACAGCATTGCCCAGGCTGGAGACTGAATAGCGTAACACACTACTGTTCATTTAGGACTGCAGTGAAAATGCAGTTCACTCTGCTTCAGTAGCACAGTAGAGATTAACATCAGGTTAAAAATAGGAGTTCAAGAATTATACATCCTAAGGCGCTCTGTTACTTACAAACTATTTCACTCACCCCTGTCTTATACTGGAGAGCCCCTATAAAATTACCTTGGAAGACAGCAGGAAGTCAACACGCAAGTTGGGAAGGTGCCTACATTGCTCTGCCCCAGTCTGTGAGTGGGGGGGGGGGGAAGTGGCTTATCTACACTCCTATTTTGAAGCATAATCTGGGAGTACAAGGACAGGCAGAACAATGTTTCCAAGTGACAATAACCTATCCTACAGTTCTTTCTATAGTAATGGACATGCTTCCAGCCCCATCTCCATGTAAAGGCAAGTAATGCAATGCCACTAGAAGTAGTGGATGTTTGATCAACAAAGCATAGTCTTTCATCATTGGAATACCTTCTTTGTTTCAGAAAATTAAACAGGAGAAGGCAACCCCACTCTGTTTTTTCGCACACCGACGGGAACTGTCTGTGTATTTGTTTGTAGGGATGTAAATGGATATAAATGGACGCGCTGATCCTCTTCTGCTAGTTTTTAAACATACAGAGTAGCCAAAGCTCACCCTCACACAAAACGTAAGAGATCGAGAAACCATTAACAGAACAGACTTTTTGGTCGCACCAGGCCCATTTCAGGCAAGGCACAGAAAGAATTATTCTCTGTTCGGTTCTCTAAAATTATGGCTAGCGATTCTTAACCTTCACAGCATATGGGCTATACTGGTGAACAGCAGAGGTAGAGAAAACAAAACCATATATCTCCCACGTAGTGGAAAAAACACGAGGGAAGAAATAACGTAAAGAAAAGTTACCTAGTATAGGGCTGATGAACCACACCATCCCATACAACTGGTCTGGAAGCCCCATCTGAAGCAGCACAGGAGTTACATAGGCTGTTTCCATGGCATAGCTGAACTCAAGCCCAAAGAGAATGCACCCATTAAACAGGAGTTCAAGGAAAGATCTCTGAGGCTGGAGATCCCCAAAGTCAATCAGATCAATAGGACATGGAGTATTTGGGGGTGGCGGTGGTGAAGGGCGGATGTGCTTTCTCCTTTTCGGATGTCTCTTAAAGTTGTTGGCCCGATGACTGATGTGCCGTGTGACCGATCCAGAATAGCCTGGAACCTGTGACCTCCAAATTTCCTGAGAAGCCAAGCTGGGAAAGAGCACAACATCGCTGGCAGGGGTTGCCACAGACGGTGGAATCATCACGGATAGGTGCCTGGAAGAGAAAAAAAAAAAAAAAGCTCAGAATAAAACCGTTGAGTAAGAGAAGCTTTGCTTAATTCAGCTACTACACTTCAAACCATTTCTGAACGCGTCACATACTGAGTGCAGGCTGGAATACTGATGCTTTCCAGACTTCTGGACTAACGATACCATGAGATAATTGCTGCTCTCCCACCTACAGCCTAGGGTGCTTCATCTTACGGCTTGGCCAGGCCATGACATTTTATAGCTACAGTATAGCCCTTTGCTGGGACATGGCAGAGACCTAGATAGTTGACATCCAAAGTGTCAGTTCCTAATTGCCATTAGGGAAATTTTAGTTGTTCCTTCCACCCATTTCTCTGCAAAGTCTTGGGCAAGCAGGTTCAGCCCACTGCCTTCCTCAGAATGCCAAGGCATACTATGTCAGACTATTTCTTTCCTTTTTATTTTCAATTGAGAAAAACTAGAAGATGGGACAGAAGAAAACCGCTTATGAGAGCATGCAGTTCTTCTGCCTCACTGAGCAAGGATGCTGAACTGAAAGGAAACGCACCACAGAGAAAAAAAATAACTGCAATGACAGCCACAAACACTGAGGTCTTCTCTCACTCATTGGATCAATTTATTTAAAATAAATGCGGCTTTGGGAAACAACTTTTTTTTTTTTTTTTTTTTTTTTTACTGTGGACCAGCAAGATCCCCAGCTGGCACAAAATCAGCAGAGCCAGCGGTTACGCTCCTCTGGCAGCACAAACCAGTTCAGGAAATACATGCTGAAATCAGGGAAGAGTGCTAAGTAAAACTAGAAGTGCTCTGGGAATCCCCAGATGGTAAACAATCCCTGGAGAATTACAGAGCTGGTACAGGACAGAGCAGCACCCAGGCAGTTCTCTGAAGACAACGAAAGAACGGAAAAACAGTGCTCCTCCCCTCACCAGTCCCTACTGCTTCCACGTTGCAGATCCTGCCTGCCTCACAGGCTATCTTTCCTGGTTCTTGCTCACTAACAGAGCCATTTCTGGCATTTTTTGGATGGCTCACTTCTTCAGCCTAGAGTTAAGCCTATTGCCAGAAACAGCTTCTATCCTCATATGATAGTGAATATGACTTCTCATATTCACTCAGTTCCTTTGGTATTAGAGACAGATTAGCGATACCCTTGCATTTTACATTTTGTTTCTAGTTACTGACCATAACCTACTGCTAATGTCTTCTTTCTAGCTAAATACAAAGTATCTTATCTCTAGGCAGCTGGAACATCTGCTAAAAAATTAACAGCTCAAAAAACAGGCACTGACATACGGAAACACCTTATGGAAAGGATGTCACTTCCATTGTATGGAAGGGAATGACTCTGCACATGGGTTTTGGTACAGGCAAGGTTTGTTCTTCTGAAGGCCTTAACCAACACTGTCATACTAGTATTTCTTTGGCATGTCATTTTGTCCTCAGAACATTTATTCTGCAGGAGTATCTTTACGAACCTTCAGGGTGGAAGTAATTCCCTCAAGATGAGAATCTGTTAAAAATCAAGAGATACCAGAACAAAGACCTAGAGAAAACCCAGCAACATTCAGGATAGCCACCCTAATGACCTTCACACAAAGATACCACCATTCTAAGAGCAGTGCTAGCACTCACCTACATCACGATGTGCCTCATCATTTGCACTCAGGGTAAATAAAAAGAGTCAGTCTTTCTATATTCACCTATTGGTTTCATTTGATACTAGCATCTCCTCCTTTGTCTTCCTGCTTTGCACTATGCATTGCAAAGAGATTGTGTAACAATTCACAAATGACAACGCTTCAGTGGCAGATGAAACAATCCCTCTATATGACTCAAAAATATATGTGGGGTTCTGCAATTATTCGGAGTGAAAGGCTATGTTATTGACAGACAACGTGCTACCGGTCCAGCAGAAATTCAACGTGGGTAGAGCCCACTCTCTCCTCATCACCCGTTCACCTCAATATAAGAATTGGTTACCAGAGGACATCTTCAGAGGACTTAAGCCTTAGGTGAATCTACCTTGTAATTAAACCAACTTTGAAGCAGGAAGCCTCCCTCATGTGTCAAAAACAATGATGTGACTGTAGGTCACAGTCCACTTTCAATTTTTATTTGTGAGTTTTGGCAAACACTGTTTTCTAGACTAATAGCCATGCATCTTTATCTGTAGGACCTTGGCCATGCTGGCTCTGCAATCTGCTATCTGCATAGTCAGAGGCACGTATGCAAATACAAAGCATATAACATGCTGGGGAGCAGGAGATCACCATTCATTCTGAGCATCTCTATAACGAAAAGGAATTTCTCCTACTTTGGTAGAATCTTATTTTTCCTTCCAGGCTAAATTTTTCTGAGGTGGATACTGACGGCTCTCCAAGTACAGCAAACACTAATGCTGCATGAAAAGACTCTACGCTGTAAGGCGACGCCACCCAACGTTCATTTCTGCCAAGGAAGAGAAGCGGCACTGCAAACGCTGCCGGCCCG